TGGGGGACTAAGTGGGAAAATGACGGGAAAGGAAAGGGGGTGCCAGAGAGAAACAGAGGGTGAATATAATCAGAATTTATCATTAATATGTATGAAACCATAAGACAATAAAAAAATTCTTTCTCGGGCATTCTGAAAGGTTTGAGAGTTTCTCTGTGTCCTTGTGGCACCGAATCTAGTGCTTAGGTTCTTTTTTTTTTTAATCTTGGAAAATATACTTTAATTTCCTTCAAAGAAGTATCACCCCATTTTCACATTGGACTCAACCATATAAAAATGATCAAACCCATGATCTTCACAATTAAAGTCATTGATATAATTGTTATTAAAGACTGATTAATTAGATAAGAAATATATATCCCAGGTGTGCCCATGATATATAGTATTCTTTAATTTAAAACAAAGAAAGTGTGTAGAAGACATGGCTGAGCAGGCAGAGGCAGTGGTGTGTGGACCTGTCATTCTGAGCTTGCTCCTCAGATCTTGGGAGAGAATTTATGCAGAGAGATGTCCTCTGATCTTTATATACCTGCCCTATGATGGATGTGTGTGTATAGACACACATACACACACACACACACACACACAAAGAGGGGGGAGGGAGAGAGAGAGAGAGAGAAAGAGAGAGAGAGAGAGAGAGAGAGAGAGAGAAAGGAGAGAAAGTGAGTAATAATCTGGTTGGGATCTACTACTGCTTTGGCTAGTTGATTGACTTTGGTTTTAGTTTGCTCATTTATTACCTTCAAATCTTATTTATCTACTTGCATGTTTAGGCCTTTGGGCTGCACCTATGTCTGTGAACAGCATGTGTGCACAGTGTCTGCAGAGACGAGAAGAGGTGGGTCAGAGTCCCTGGAACTAGAATCAGAGATTGTTGTGTGTCGCCCTGTGTGTGTTAGGAACCAGGTCCTCTAGAGGAGTAGCCAGTAATCTTAACCACTGAGGTAAGGAAGAGCACAGTGACAGGAAGTGGTGATGTAATTCTTAACAGCGTCAAACAGCTCACGGAATAACTCTCAGAACTTGAACCCATGTCTCAATCGTTAGGAAACCACAGGGTTTCCACTTACTTATTTCATACTGTGTACGTCATGCCCTACAAATCATCAGACCATAAATTTCAATAAAACTTAATAAAGTGAATGTGACTTCCGTTTCCAGAACAAGGTCCTAGGATGACAATGCCATATAAAGAAAAGATGAGGGAGCTAGGGATATGTGCTGTGGGGCGGGGTCAGAGCACTTGCTAGAAAACAAGAAAATCTGAGTTCAAATCTCTAGCGCCCACAGGCAAAGCCAGGCATAGCAATATCCCCTGGAGTCTGGTGCTCAGGGGTGAAGACAAGCAGATCTCCTCCCAAGAGCATCTCCGTGAGCTACATGCTGCACATTGGTCAACTTCTAGATTCTTTCATCAATTACAAGGCTGTAGTTCCTCTTTCAAGGACATGGGTGCAAATTTAGCCTTGTATGTGAGCCATCATTATCTGTGTTGACTTTGAAACAAAAAATACACTTCCATACATCTTGAGTGTGTCCACAAATTTTGGGGAGATAATGCATTACCTATTTTTAATAAGATCTACATAAAAATAATTTTGATATAGTAAAATTTTCAAGTTCACCACCCTGGACGCTATTTTCAGTTTCTCTCCAAACCTGGAGTCAAAGGGTTCAACCAAATATTTCTTCCTACTCTGAGGCAGCTTTAGCAGTTCAGCTTTCTACCATGCAGCTAAGGGGAACAAACCAAAGAAGAGTGACCAGACGAAGTGACAGTTTCCCTTTGAATCCCTGTAAGCGGGAACTCCTTCCAGCCCATAGTGGGAATGCCGAGAGCTCTAACAAGCTAGGAGGAAAATGCTGAGGTTGGAAATGAGCATCGCAGTGATTTTTTTTCCATCTAAAGAAAATGGTCTGGAGGGAAGGGTAAAGACGTAACTGCTTAAGTGGACTGCACAGAAACCAGCAGGCAGTTCTTCAGTCATGAGCGAGGGACCCCCTCGCAATGGTATCCCACTACTCTTCGCATCACAGCCTTCTCTGTGCATCGTTTATATTCTGGTGGAGCCCAAGCTAACTGTATTTAACAAGAACAACAGGAGCCTTAGGAACTGAAGCATGAGAGGAGACTGCAGTTATGCTGAACACTAGCTGTGTGGACTTAATTTATTTAGCCACATGGGACTTGAGTCTCTATTGGAAAGGAGGGAGCTACAACAGCCATGATCTTGTATGAGAGCCAAGTGATCCTGAGTGTGTAAATTGTAAACTGCTTTTAATGTAAAGGAGTTATATTACTTCTAAGATGACCATGTTTAATTATGTTGTCACTAACGTAATTATCCAAGCTTTAATTATGCTTGTTTTTATTAGTGTTGTGGTTACTATTATTATTAGAATGAAAACGTTTCTTCCTCAGTTTTTGAAGGTATGAAGAAAGCAGAGTTCACCTACCAGGAGACCACATTCTGAAATCAGGATTTTCTACCTTGAAGGCTACTTCACTGTGCAGGAACCTCACTGTAGGACAGTGAATTTGGGGTCCAGAGTGCCAAATCCCTGACTTGTGTCCTGAGAATATAGAGTACTCTAGAGTACTCTGCGCTTTGTTGCTTATGTTACTGTGTGCTTCCAATAAGAGGAGAAACTGGTGCACAGAGAGCCTCCTGGAAGACCAATCAGTGTGTCCGTCCACATCCCATCCCTGTCCACGGTGATGCCTTCATGCTACGGCATTGACTCATCTCTCAAGGTCGCCATGATCCCTTTTATCCCCAGAGCCAGTTGCCCCTTTCATTTTTGTCAACAACGCTTCCTCTTTGTTGCTGTCCCTCCAATGAGGAAGTGCGGCACAGACACAGACACAATACACCTCTTCATAAGGAAGGCATGAGTGTGTGCCAGATGGGCCGAGGGGATTACAACATGTTTCCTCTCCCATGGTGACTCAATGTGGCTGGTATGAGAACTCATCTTATTCAAGCGGGCAGCTTCCCCTGATAGAATTATGAGTCACAGTTCCTGGGGAGAAAGTGCACATACCCACAACCTTGGGGGGAAAAAGGGGATCTTTGGGTGAACACATAAAGGTCGCTCAGAAAAGCAGCTCCGCCAGGACAACTGGGCAGGCAGCTGACCTCACAAGCTTCTGGAAGCTTTGATCTCTCCACAGCAGTGGCGATGGTTGGCGCTCAGTTTGACTTTCAGGTGTGGCACTTGACGCTCTAATGGGAATCATTAGTGTGGCTTTAAAGAGGGCCAACAGGAAACTGTCCAATTTGAGTAGAGGGGTTTCCAAGAGTTTAGGGAAAAAATGAATAAATCTATGCCTTCAAGTACCTTAAAATACAGAGAGGGGTGGTCATAGAGGAAAGGAGAAAGAAGAAGAAAGAGAAGGGAGAGGGGGAGAGGGAAGAAGGTTGGAAAGAAAAAAATGGCAGGGGAAGAGAGGCTAAGAAGAGGTTCAAAGGCAAATGACAGGAAAGTGGTACAGTGAGTGAAGTGCGCTGATGGGGTGTTAGCAGATGATGGGAGATGCCAAAGCAATGCTAATGGGGTACAGAAGAGTGATGGGCAGGGCCATTTTAACTTCAAACGGTCAAGGAAAGCCTCTGCGAGAAGATGACAGTCAATCAGGACTAAGTCAAATGAAAATAAATTATAGTCTGGGGTTTTCATCACCATATTTAAGAATCACTACACCAAGTTCCCTCCAATCAAACAGATACCCAATAGATGCCGGCATATTCGTGTGGCTCAGCTGTACGCTAGCACATCCCAGTTGAATCGCAGGCCTGGTTAAAATACAGCCTTTCCTCTGTGAAGTCCCACAGGGCCCCACAAGTTTAGATATGATCTGTTCTTTCAGCTGTACTCTGTCCTAGTTACACCCTGTCTTTAGAGTTATTTTTGGTTTCTAATACAATGCTCTGAGTGGCATAGAAAAACTGAAATGCACCCAGCAACGATGATCAGGATGGTAGGAGGGCTGAAATTCATGCCAAGTGAAGAAGAGTTGAAGGTATATATTGCAGAACACAGGGGTCATGGTTACATAATGCTGATTTAACACTTCCAAAGGGTTCTCAAAGAGAATAGCCATTAAAGCAATGATAGTCAAAGTGCAGCCCATGGTGTTCATAGGAATTATACGTAGGGATCGTTATTAAAATTAGGATCCCTGGGGTCCCTGTGTAAAAACCAAAGAACCTGTGCTTTTAGGTATTTTCTTTTTCAATCATGAGGCTAAATCAAAGAAATATATGAAAATGACAGACTATTTCAGTCCTATGTGCAAGATTTTTTTTATAAAAATTTGATGAATCAAAAAAATAAAACAGTCTGCAATTATATGTTCACTAGGTAGAGCAAACCTGGGTGATGATTAGAAGCAATTTAGAGATGAGAGGAGGCATCAAAAGATGGGCTTTGGAACACCCAGCCTCATACCTCTGCTTACGTGGGATCTAGGACCATGGTTACTAAGTTTAGTTACTCAAACTCACTAAATATCTTGGTTGTATCCTCTTGCAAAGTCATATCCAAAGAAAGAAAGAACCTACCAGCAAATCCTATGTTGCCTATGTAGTTTAGATGCAGTTTGATTGAAAGCATCGATTTGGTTTGGTTTTTAGCATCCCCCTGGACTGCTTATGAATGAGTCTTCTTTGGTGCTGGTACAAGTTTGGGAACTAGGTCTTGCTAGATTCCTGCTATTTCCTCCATAGGATTTAAGGTAAGAAGAAGGAGGAATATGCTGGAGGGTATGGAGTTGAGATTTCCCCTGTGTTTATACAAATCAGCTCTTTTCCTAAGTGTTCTAGTTCCCCTCGTCCCCAAATTCTATTGCTCTTGCAGATAACTCATTCCGCGCAACTACAGAAGAGCACAGAATAAAACCAACATTGTGTTCTCTTAAGTTCCCCATGAGAAAGAGAGGACACATGATCCTGGATGTTATCCTAATTTCAATTATTTAATAAGCGCCACACACTCACCTGAGGCATGACTCTGCAGGATCCCATAAAAGGACAGACTCATCAAGCACCATAGTAGTCCCATCCTGTCAACATAAATAGAAAGGTAAGGGAGGGTAGTTCTTCCCCGGAGAGTCTTAATAATCACTGGCAATTCATGCTAACTAGAGGTCCAGAACAATCCCAAGGGTTTCACAATATTAACAAGTTTTATTGTCAGAACCAACAACAAAATTGGTGAATTTTGTTTCACATTGTCATTTGCCTTTGAATCCCCGAATTACATGTTGATAAACTCAAACAAGTTTTAATAACATAACTGGAATCCCTTGACTAGAAAGTGATCCAGGCACCATTTCATTCCAGCTGTGAGGCTCTCAAACTCTCTGCTAATCCATGAACTATAACTGGTACACTTTAAAAAAAAAAGTTCATCTGGATTCTTTGACCTGGACTCACACTTCTGGCAGATGAATGTGACCCTCTTACCCTTCTTTAAGTTCCCTTGTCTAGCCTCAGCAGGAAATATGTTATGATCAGGTACTTTTCCATCTTAATGACAAATTAAAAATCTAGAGGGCCTGGATTCAGACAGAGCCTGCAGTCAGTCACACAGAATTTGTATCTCTGGGAAATATTGAAAGCTCCTGCCCGGGCTTATGCACAGAAAAGACAAACGACAGGGCAGTAATCTCTATGATCTTTAGCTTCCTAATGATAACCAACAGGAACTGTCTACTAGCAAGATCCTGCTCCCATATATGGTTGTGAGGTCTTTAATGCAGAGGATTTAACAGTGCTGTAAAGTACATCTTTCTTTAGTCCTCTGGACCTGCCTGACCAATGGGGAAATGTCTGCGGGGTTATAAATACAGAAATATGGAATGACTCAGACATTCCAGGCTCATGACTTCTGCCTTCTGGTTGATGAAAGCACTCATGCAAACATGCTTGGAGACATCTGGGAACTTGTCAACATCACACTTCTAGAAAACAATGGAGATCAGATTTTTTAAAATTTTATTTTTAAACTCTCATCAAGTGCAGGGAACCACATACCTAAAACGGCCAAAAATGAATACTTGACAGTATGACATAAACCATCAAAATGGGCCACGTTTAAGAGTACTACATGGAAATAAAGGGTATGAATTGAAATCACCCAAACACCATAGGCTGTGTTGTAGATCCTAACACAAAATGCAAATTACTACCCCCAACACTGATCATAGCAACAGACAACCAAAATCTTCAGTTTCTTCTTTACCTTACCTATATAAAACTCACAGGTGAGTTTCCCACAAGAGGTATCGCATGAAAACATTTCATCTCAAATATCAATTGCTATTTTTCTTTCTGAACAACTGCTTTCCAATCCTCACAACATTATCTTAAAATTTAGCTGTGTCCATCCATCACTCATTCATTCAATAAAGTACTTTGAAGGCTGGAGAGTGAGCATGGTGGTATAGCACTTCCATAACATATTCAATACCCAGGGCTTGAGCCACAATACCATCTTCCTCCTAAAAGTATTACTGAAATTTTAATAATTTTTATTTATTAATTGTTTAATAAGTTACAACAATCCAATTGCAGTATATTTTGGCTTGCATAAAACAGGGCCTTTTATGAGACTGCTTTTCTGCTGTAAATAAATCCATGAAAACCACCTCGATGTCTTTAACTATGTATAAAAGACACACATGCAGACAGACCAGAAAATATGATTTATCAGACAGAGGGTATAGTAGTAAGAATCTTATGGGAACTTAAAATATGCACCAAAAGAATAAACTGCAGTACAAAGTCAATAAATGGTAAAAGAAAGCAACCAATCAATACAATTGAATATGAGCAAAAAAATAAAAAATAAATAAAATTAAAAAAGAGAGATTTCTCCAGCCAAAGACTGGGAAGACTGAACTCTATGAAGACTCTTTCATAATGAGCAAAAACAGGGTGGTTATTGGGAACTGAGGCAGAAGGAAAATATGGGGGGAATGGGGCTCTTGGAGAATAACAGTTACAGATAAAGAAACTACCAGACACAAATATACAATAATCTAATAATAATTCCTTTAGACTCAAGAACAGGGTACTGGAAAAAGAACTATAGATAATTGTTGGAAATCTGAAAGGGCCAGGAATAGAAAATGCCAACACGGTGAAGGGCAGGCTAAAGCCATGTGATTTAACTTCCACAGCAAACAAGAGAACTGATGTCTTCTGAGTGGAGGAGTGCTACAATGACAGAGGACTGATCAGCTTATGCCTTAGGGAAGTCACTCTGCCACACACGAAGGGGAAGAAGAATTCGGCCACTAAATTCTGTCTTGGAGTCATATTGGATCCTGAGTTCATCACACAGTAATTGCTCTCCTGCTGGGTTTTTTTTTTTTGTCTTTGACACACTTGCTCAGCATGCCACCTATGTCCTCACCCAAGTCATTAATAAAAGTAATTAATAATTCTGCATCAATCCTTGTCAGCGTGAGCAGTAAGATTTTGCACTGCTGATTCCGAGCACAGCGGTTTCAGCCCCACTGCTCAGCTCTATTAAAGTATTCTGACCTTCCTTATTGCTTTTGGCTATTACACACACACACACACACACACACACACACACACACACACACACATACACACACACACACAAACTCTCTCTCTCTCTCTC